GAAATATTATTTCAATTTAACAGGTGACTATTTACAAAGATTCTGTATATGAAGACTTTGGCTTTAGTGTTTCTGATGGTCTCTATGAGCGAGGCGTTTTTATAAATCGAATACGAAAAGGGGGTCCAGCGGATGTGACTGGAGTTCTTCAACCCTATGATAGAATTCTGCAGGTAAATGAACCAATTTACATTGCAATTACGTAATAAGAAATGTGCAATAAACAGCATTTTTTTCTTGTCTTCTTTTATAGGTGAATGAAACAAGGACCCATGATTTTGATTGCTGTCTGACAGTTCCACTTATTGCAGCCGCGGGGGACCGTATTCAGCTTATAGTTGCTAGGCATAAGGTTTGAGTTAAAATTGATCTCTTATCTATACCTCCAATTTAGCACATTGGCTGTGGCACCAGTTAGATATGCTCAAGCCACACAAGCACAATTTATCAAGTGCCACCACAAACTAGATACACCACAGTCAATGTGTTAAATCTTTCTAACAAATGACATTTAAATAATTCTTTTACTTTGTTAACAGGACTCTGCTTACCAACTACCTCTTGATGATTCATATCTTGAATCAAGCACAGTCACTCAAACAATATGATGCACATTATCTGTTCAAATAAATTACTTTACATTAGAATAGTGTTTTTTCTTCCCCCCATTACTGAAAAATGCAATCTCAACACAAAAGCTGAGACAACATATTTCGATAGTTAACACGCTTTTTCAATTAAAATATAACCAAATTGCACACACATAGATCATTTACAAACAAATATTTGAGTATTCTTAGTTTAATTCTATATCTCCAAAACTTATTTCTAAATCCATAGGGACGTCTTCAGGGGAAGGATCTATTTCTGGACTGGATGGAAGGGCCACCTTAACTTCATGTTGCTTTGAAGAAGCAACCAGTTCTCTATACCTATGAATTATTGCTTGAAGTGATTGCCTCCGTGAATTTTCTTTTGCTGGAGCCGCTATCTCCGTAACAATTTCACTTTCCTGAACATCTGGAGGACACAAACTAACTCTACCAGAGGGTGATATATCATCCCCAAAGTCATCTAGATCAAACTTAGGTGGAGCGTCAACCATGATTTCAGATTGCATGTCAGTAGAAAAGAAACTATTATCAGCTGAAGGTGGAGAAAGTACTCCAAAGGATGATGACTGAGGTGAATCAAAAGTCTCCACGAAAGAATCACCAACAGCATTAACCATTATCTTTGGGACATCGTTGTTAGTACAACTTTGCCTCATACTAGCATGTTGGCTTCTTTGAGGTGTCTTATGCAGTGGAGAGGACAATACAGATGAAATCACTTCCTGTGATGTCTGCAAGATTGAAGATGATCTTAAATTGGCAGTTAATACAGAATTTTCTTCTTTAGCACCAACAGATGATCGAGAGTGTATTACTTCTTTGTCTGCTTGAGTTAAAGTAGCTTTTTCAAGACTGTACTGAGGCTTCAACTTTTTGAAAGACCCCTCATTTGAAATAGGAATTTTTGTCAATTTTTCTTCAGCTTTATCTTTAAATAATAAAGGACTTTTAGCTTCATTGTCTGAAAGAAATTTAAATCAAATGTTTATTATAAATGATGAGTGTTATACATTGTATGTTCTAGATGTCTAGGATAACTTACCCCCATTGGAAGATGGAATAACTTTTGATACAACGTTACAATTGGCAGCCTGATGGAGTTCAGTGCCAAGAGCATGGCTTTTTGAGGTAGAACATCCCTTTAAAGTTTTGAGACTACATTTCTTATCAAAACCATTTGTGCTAACTTTGGGTTTAGCAAGAGCAAGCTTTGCTTTATAGCTCAACGGCGCTAGTGTACTTCTAGCAAAAGATAAAATATCAATAACAATTAGTAAAATAGCAGCACTCACACCATAGCAAAAATAAAGTGTACCATACATAAATACATAAGTTCAAATAGCTTACGGTTTGTATGCTGTGCTTGTAGCAAATTGTTTGGAACAGAAATTGGCTGGTGTTTCCGCAACAGTAGACAATGGCTCATAAAATGAAAGCTTTGGGCTACTTTTTAAAGTTTTAGGACCATTCTGAGATAAGGACTTGATGTGAGGTACTTTACCAGAGAGGTTCCTGACAGAGAGTCCTACAAAATAAAATATTGGATTAAATACATGTTACAGAATATAATTGATTGATGATGGATAAAATATTCAAGTACCTGAGGTAGAGTTTGATAGAGATGCTTTAGGAGTAGAGCTAGTTTCAATATTTGGTTTTACACGTGAAAAAGGTCTCATTCTACCAACAACCCCATCAACAGGTGAACCTGTAAATACAAAAAATATTATTTTTAACGTTTAACCTCTTATTGTTTTTTTTTTATTAGAGAAGTTGATCACTATTACTTTACTATCAATTACTACTTTACTTCTTACTTTCAGTGCAGATGCGTGAAGATATGTCACAATGAACATCGAAAACTAATGGAGGAGTATTTGTTTGAGCATCTTGTAGCATCTCATTGCCAATCTGTAATCCTCCCTTCAATAGAGGAGACTCTAGGCCACCTAACACGGATTGAATCAAACAAATTTAATGTTTCACTTTGGTTCTGGCACAAAAACCTTCATTAATTGCAAATTACTAACCATTTATTTTCTTTGGAGATCTCATAGTCTCAAGGGATGCAGAAAGGAGTTCGATGAAGCCTGCTTTGGTTTCAGCAAAAGATGTTTCAGCTTCCTGGAACTTCTCCCTAATACTTTTAAGTTCTGGTTGCACCAGCTCATAGCACTGGAAGCCACCAAACATGGAAAGAGACTTCAAGATATTTGTGGCAGACTTTGCTCCTTCAGTTATGAGATGAGCAAGATCAACATAACCATTATTGTCCTGTTGGTACACAAAGCCATTATAATAATGATAATAATAATAATAATAATAATAATAATAATAAGAAAGAATGTAATTTTAAGTGCACGCCTTACAAAGGATGGGAAGTGTACCTTAAGGTTTGCTGGGAAGTTACTTGCATCCAATACAACAGGCATAGTTTTGCTGTTCACAAATACTTGAACACTTTCGTAGCAATCCTTTACAGCGGTACTCTGGGCTTGCAGTGCTTTCAACATAGACTTTGCTTCTTCTGCCTCCTTATTTAAAAGATGTTGCCACTCTGAAAATATTCAATACAGAAATAGCATTTGTTTTACAAAGAACTGTTAGACATTTTTGACCAAAAAAATAGACAATTGCTGCTAACTTGCTATGATGGACATGAATTCCTCACGGCCACTATTAAGTATCAAAGATTTATCCATTTCAGATAGAGGACATCGCTCCATGCCCTGTATCATTTCGGAGAGTTCATTTTTCAATCTATTTTTCTCGATTGACTGGTTTAAAATTTCATTGTTGAGTTTCCTGAATAAAAGATTGACAGATAGATAGAATAGAAAAATAGAGAAGGGTCAATTAAAGAAAACAGGTCTGGATTTCTTACTTTGCATATTTGGAAGAATCAATAAGAAGTTGGCAAAGATCATTTGATTCCTTTCCTATTTCGAGAAGAATAGATTCTGTCATACTTTCCACTAAAGGAACCACTGCAGGAGCAGTCGGATAATGTAAAATCCCAACAAAGTCTGTAATTTAATTTAATTACAAATAAATAAATCCAATTTATACAGCACTGTGATACAGACATGTCAGAAGTCTACTAACCACTTTCTCGTTCAACAACTGTCTTCAATACAAGCAGAGAAAGTTTCCACATGAACTTAGCAAGCCTTTCTCCTCCTGGTGTAGACAAAAATGATGGCGAAAACTGAGGAATTCTCGCTTGAGGTACTTCCTGGAAAGAGAAGATAAAAACCATGAGATTTGAGGAATACAACAGTGGAGTAACACTTGTGCTACCTAGAAAAAAAAATGCAACCAGAGAGGGAAGAAACATACTTTTATAATCTCCTTGACAAATGCAACAGTGTTCTGTCTGAATGTGCGCTCCTGACTTCGATCCAAGATAGGCCATGGAACTTTTGGCATGTATCGGACAGAATCATATGCATTACACAGATAAAATAAAACTTGATCAAATGCTGTACGATTAGGTTTAGTAAACATGTCCTGAAACAATATTAGTTACAGTAGAATTAAAGCGCTCAAACAAAACATAGAAATATCCAAAGTTTTACTTACATCTTTGATGCACTTCACAAAATCTGAACCTCCTGGCTTCAATTCATTCAGAACAATCAGGTTTTCATAAAGATATTGATGGGGACTACAATCAGACATGATGAGAAGGCAAACTCTCCTAACTATGGAGATCACAGATCACTCACAGAAGAATCCTTCTCGACACCAACCAACCAAACCTGGTTTCACTGAACCACAATTGACACAATAACAACTTTGAACACTTTGAAACCGCCACAACGCTTCAGGTCAGGCAGAGGCAAAACGGGAGAAAGAGAAATAAAACAATCCCCTTAAAATGTGAAATCTTAAAGCGATACACATTGCAATCTCATTTCGTTATTTATTTATTTTTAATTTTTACTCGTAGTGCTAAATAAGATTTATTTTGATGATTAGAACTTGAAGCTGAGGCGAACAAGCAGATTGAATTAATGCGAAAGCTATGGGGGAAGATTCGCACTGAAAGGTTGTTAATTGCCACGTTATTTCCAGAGATCCGGCTCCATGCCTGTGAATAACCACACTTATAGCAGACGACGGACGGACAACCGACAAACAACCATGTGAAGAAGCAAGTTAATTTTCTCTGCTTTAAGACGATATTTTCAAAACCTATCTCTTTGTGTTTTGTTATGATAGGTTGCGGGTAGTAGTTTATACAATGAATATTTCAAAAAACATATTCAAAAAGATGTTAAGACGAAAGAGTAACATTTTTCTTAGCTTCTTGCCATTTGTAAGTAACACAGATGAACCCGGACAAACACCAACGGATTTACTTATCCAACAGCGCTATGAAGCATTTTCTCCTTCAAATGACATGTCTGGCTGGGAAAGAGTGAAATTGGGTCTTTTAACCCCTGAGTAAGTGTCTTCGCTTCAATCATGAAAGTTTAAAAACCTTTAAACTAACGTAGATCAACTAAATCTCTTGACTTCGTTGGCAATTTCTCCCAGAAGTTGAAATGTATGCTATGTTCCAGTGACATTGGAGAATTTGGTCCTCATGTATCAGTGATTACCACATCAACATTTTTGGCCGCAATTGCAGGATTTGGCTATGGGGGTTTTCAAACATCCAGATCAGCCTACATGAATTTTATGAAAACCAACCAGGCTACAAAGTTTGATTCACACATGGAAGCAAAGGTATTACCAAAACAAGCTACATAATTTAATCTTGTGAAAACTTGATGCAGCTATTGCTTAAGCTCCTATTTAAAACAAGAAGCCGTAGATCACACAAATGTTAGTTTGTAGCTTCAGCTGAAGAATAGTTTTATGCATTTACTACAATGGATATTGTTTCATTGTTATTTTTACAGAGACGGCTGCAAGACAGAGTCAGTATTGGATATTTAAAAGGTGGTACACAACTTGGATGGAGAACAGGTCTTTTTGCATTTATGTTTACGTAAGTTTTCATACAATCTTTTTTAAATGTATTTTCCCAAAACTATGATGTTAATGCACCTTGCATCTCATTTGTAGGTCTGTTACCAATGCAGTGTCTCTGTACCGCAATAAAGATGGCATTTTAGAATACACTGCTGGTGGTCTAATAGCAGGGATATCCTATAGAATGCACAGAGGGACACGTGCAGTAATTGTGGGAGGGATTTTAGGTAATATTTTCTTGCTTTTGGCATCTGAGGAAGTGTATTGCTGTATTAATAGCTTCCTAGTCATTCCAATTTTGCTTTCTATTCATTGTGCAATAATTTTGAAGGATCCACCCTTGGAACAATTGGAGGAGTTTTCAGTTACTGTTATCTGAAATTATTTGGTGTAACTATGGAGGAATTAAGAGAAGCAAACTATAAGTTTAATCTTCAGCGACAAAGGTTAGCATTCTTATTTTATCTGCCCAAATCAGTAGAAGTTACTTAACGTTCTGAGTTTGTGTCCTGAGATAATTTACAAGGTCTGATTTACATTTCCTCTTTTCAGTTGGATACAAGAAGGAACGGCTGAAAGTAATAGAGAGGATGGCGAAGAAAGTCTACTCATAGAAAAAATGGCAAAAGATAAGAAAAATCTCACAATGCCTGATAACTTAGAAAATGTTGATATTAAAAGTTGACATTGTTTATGGTATGAATAGTACTGTTGTGAACCATGTAATTAAATGTGAATTACAAACAGATATTTAATTGTTATCCAATAGGTTATAAAAAATCACATATCAGTACAATCAACAGGTTTAGTTAAATGAAATCTGTTCAATTAATGGACTTATCGGCAGCAATTTGCACAGGTTGTAATCCAAACTGATGAAGAGTGGCAATAGTCTGTACAAGAGCACTTCCATCCCTTACAATGTGGTATTTTCCCATGAAACTTAAGTCTATTACTGTTGAACCAGCCCGAGAATGTGCAATCTGGTTATACCCTAACGGTCCCCCATCAAAGACAGCAGCAACCTGTGGCCACAAAGGTTCAAACTCCTTTGGACTCAAGCAACTAGGCTCATTGCTAAGATTTGCACTAGTTAATGCAATTGGTTCAGCAATTTTTTGAGATATGTGCCGAACAAATAGGTGATTAGGAATTCTAATTCCTACCTTATTGCAAGTTGGATTTAATTCTGGATTAAGTAACGATGTACGCTCTAATATTATTGTAACAGGACCTGGGAGGAGGGAATTGAGAAGTCCAGCAGGTAAAACATCTGTTTTACCCCAGGAACTTACATCATCTACTGCACCCACACATACAGCTACTGGTTTTGCAGAGTCTCTACCCTTAACACCATAGAGTTTCCTGACTGCCGCTGTGTTCTGAGCACATACTGCCAGTCCATAAATAGTATCCGTCGGCAGTGCAATGATATTACCATCAGAGAGAAGCTGGCATGCAAGAGTAACAGCTGAGGTTTGATCTTGATCGCTCTCTGTGATGCGCACCAAGGAAGATAACCGCATGATAGATATTGAGCCAAGCCTGAAACTAAGTACAAAGAAGCATGTAAAGTTGAAGTCAGGGAATTTCTAAGAGGGGAAGTACATGAGTTAAATTACCTACCAACTGCTAATCACGCCAGCGATGTGCACATTCATGGTTACAACATTTGTAAAATGTTGTCATTGGCTCATCTGCTGAACGAGTCTGAATTTGCATAAAATAAGCTCGGGGGTGTGAACACTTTGGACACCGCTCGTCAGTTGCATCAACATTGGCCCAGGCTGCAGACCCCCCTAATACATCATCCAACTCCTGAAACATTGACTGTCATGTTTACAAGAACCAGACTGCCCGAAGCATGAAATTACGACACGTAGGATGTTCGCACCTTGAGCTTTGGGTATGTTTTCTTGGAAACAAGTTTAGTGATGCCGTATTTGAAAGGACACGTGTGGCAGACAAAATTAAAACGACGACTGCCTTCTGCAGCAGTCAAAGAATTGGAGCAACAAGGACAAAACAAAAGCATACTTCTACTAAGACTGAAACAGTCTTACACGCTTTGAAGTGAAATCAAGATGTACTGTCACATCCACACAATAATTCGTTTGAATGTCATCACCTTGTCAATTCTCATGCACGCCTGCGGCTTACTGCTTGCATGCAAACAAACAAAACCAATCAAAAACAACAAAAACAAAAACAGAAGCGCAATCTAAAATGGCCACAACCTTGCCAACCTAAAAAAAAACTTTCTGGCTGATTTTGTGGTTTAACAGACACTTAAAAAGACCTATGATGTACCTAAGATATGTTTTGATATTAGGTTTTCCAAATAAAATTTATTCGTGTGAGTGGATGACAGATGTATCGTTTTATTGTAAAAAGTGGCACGTTTAAAGGTTGTCTTTTTGAAAAATTTAAAAGCTGCGAATAACGTGAGTGCACTGCAAGGCGGTGATGCTTCAACCAATCACGAAAGAAAGGGCTTATGTTTGAATCGTTTGAAAATTTCTAAAATGTGAAGTAAACTTAGGTGTTATTTATGTCTGCTCGTCCGCGGAAATTCGTGATGAGTTCTATTTGAACACCACCTATTAAACTACTTGACTTAAACCATGTTCTGTGCCATCTACGACTTACTCCGCTCGTTAGGTACTGGTTTTTTGAGGTACCTGTTGGAATGCCGTGGTCTTAACCGGCTTCTGTGTTTGTGTGTGTACCGTGTTTAACAACCGTTTCAATGGGTTTTTCAGGGTTATTTTTAAATTGTATGCTGTAAATTATCTCGAAATTGGCCACTGTTAATAGGTGCGTTTTCATTTGTTGCACAATTATATTTTACTTGAACATATCTATTTTATCTGTTTTTGAAACAATTGTTTTGTCTCTTTCTCTTACTTGTTTTTTGTTTTTAAATTCTTCTATACCATGTGATTTTCCCTATAAGTTCTCTCTATTATTAGTGTATTACATGTATTTTTGGACAGTGCAGCATAATGGTGTCGGGTGTCAAGTGTGAAGATGCCGAGCTTGCTGAGACTTTGCGCAAAGATGACCCTGAACAATTTGTAACATTAGTTCGAATGCATCTCTCATTTGTGCTTGACTTGAATACTGATGAGTAAGTTTTGAATAGCAATTATTCCTAATTTTTATTCTTATCATCCGTTGCTGTTTAATGCCATCTTCCGTATTCGCAGATGTGATGGCACTGTTGAAAAGTCGGGAAAATTTAGACCTATGAAATGGAGCTTTACACCTTTTGCTAAGAAATCTAAAACTCTGAACCGTCCTGCCACAGAGGGAGTCTCATTAACTCAGGATAGTATTTCTCAAGTTTATCAGCTTATGCAATGGCTGGGCCAAGAACAAAGTAAGTATTTTAATCCGTCTTTATTGATCCTGCCACCACAAATTAAATGCTTCTCTATTTCTCACGTGTATGCAATTTTTCTGTCTCTAGATCTTGTTCAGGAAGGAATATTTCGCCGAAGCGGAAAAATGACTAGACAGCAAGAGCTCAAAAATATGTTGACTGCTGGGTGTCCTTTAAAATTGGAGGATGGTCAATTTTCAGTTCATGATTGTGCAAGTGTCCTCAAAAATTTCTTAGCACAGCTCCCGGAGCCTTTATTAACTGAAGCTCACTATCCTGCTCATTGTCAAATTGCTGGTAAGGCATCTTTCAACAAAGTTGTTATTTTGTGGTGGTCTGTATCTCATTCGTAATTTCTTTTAGAGCTGTGCTCAGGAAATGAGGAACCAGTTGAAGAAGAAAGACTACTAAAAGCAATTCAACTCATTCTGCTGCTCTTACCTCAAGAAAACATGCAGCTTCTAAAAGACTTGATTGGCTTGTTACATCTTACTTCAACCTATGCCCATGTGAACAAAATGTCACCTGACAATTTGGCCACCCTTTTTACACCTCATCTTCTTTGTCCCAGAAAGGTATAATCATTCATTCAAATTTTAAAAATATGTTCCTGAAAATATGGTCAATTTACTACTAACAACCCTTTGATTTTGGAACAGTTGAGTCCTGAGGCCTTGCATACAAACTCACAAACCATGTCCAGAGTTGTTTCTTTTATGATCAAACAAGGACCATTCCTTTTCCAAATACCCGCTCAGCTAGCAACAGATATTAGAGCATATTGGTCTACGCGAGAGAAAAGAGCCCTCCTTCCTAAGAGAGACGTAAGTTTAGTGTTTGTTTGGTATTATCTATGTATATCTTTTTTTTATAATATCACTTAATGATATTACCCCACCCCTACTTTGCTTTGTACATTCTTCTCTCTCTCTTGATTTTTAATTTTTTAACTTTTAGCTTAATGAAAGTACCTGTGATGGAATGGCAGCTAGAACTGTTTTCACATTTGTTGATCGTGAGCGAACTGCTGAGGCAAGTGCATCTGCCAATCCAACAGAAGCAGCCCTTGCTCAGCTATATGCTCATATTCAATCTCTTCCTGAGTCTACTAAGAAAAGAAAGCTCATTAAACAGTTCAACAAAGAAAATGGACAAGGAACCCCCCAGTTGGTATTAGGTTCTCATGGTGGTAGGGCCAGTAGATCAAGACAGCGAGCTATTATTCCCAACAAGCCTAGACAGCGCAGCCGCTCTCTTGGAGATTCCATCAAGGTACTGCCTGCTCCAATCTTATTTTATCTAATCTAATCTTACAGTATTAATGTTTTGCTAATTTCCTCCAATAGAAACACATGCCAGGGTTTCACAAGGGGTCCAAAGATTCTAAGAAGTTTAATGATGACTACTTTGTGAAGGAGTCAACCGATGTAAGTACTTGATAGGCCACTATGTGTTCTAAAATCAAAAATGAAAGTGTTTGATACCAGCATCTGTTTTTAATTTTACAGAGTCCTCATAGTTCCCCTGTTTCAAAGGTTAAGAATTTCTTCCAGAAGAGTGTAATTGAGGGAGATATCTCAATTTCTTCACCAGCAGTGATGCCATTGCTAAAGAAATCCCTTATTGTTGATGCTGATGATGAAGCCAAGTCTCTCCGACTGAGATTGTCAGCCAATGCAAAGAGAACCCCTGCGTCTGCCACATCTCAAAACACTTTAGTTGACAAAGAGGACTGTGGCTCAACTTCTAGTAATGACTCTAATTCAGCAGGTGATGAGCGCTTTCGTAATGTGCTCAAACGAACCACTTCCTCTATCATTCATAGTGATAGAAACGGTGATTCTAAAGACTGTGGTCCAACAAAATCTCCCCGTCTCGAACCTGGTTTTCCCCTCCTTTTGCCCCCCACTCCCTCTGTTGAAAGACTTCCAGTCAGTCCTGATGTCAAACATCCACCAGGTACCTTTAGAGATGAGTCGTGGCCTGTGAGTACTGCCTCCGCATCTGCTGTGGTGTCTGCTTCATCCTGTGGCAACCTTTCTTCTATTGGGCTCCCTAATGCTCACATACTAACACCTCGAAATGTGCTTGCCTGGATGACAAGTACTCCTGCATATGCACGTGCTTGCCAACAGACTGACAGTCCTCTTGGTAACTGCCTACTAACACCCTCCAATCCCACTGGTAATAACTCCATGTCTCCCATAACTCGCTCCACACAGAAAATGCCTAAAGCTATGCAGGTAAGAATATGTCTGATGACACTTCTGCGTATTGAAGGCCTATTCTGCTAATCAGCATGTGCATGTCTTCTCAATCCTTAAAAATAATTCCATGCATGCTTTTGGGAATAATTTCTAAATGTCGACTATCTCATAAACCTAGACTTACAAAATCTGAGTCCATCTTCTTTTTCTTAGTGTGTGCTTTCTTCTTCTATGTGTGTGCAAACATCATCATTAAACAACTAGATGTGGTAGAAGCTATCTACCATCTTGCTTCGCATAAAATAAAAATCAGCTAACCGGTAGGAAGTGGTAATGTGCTAATTCTAATGTTTCTCATTTCAGGAGGATATGATGACACCACGCAGTCGGAAACCTGTCGTGGCATTGTCCAGCTCCAACTTGTCCCAACTAGCACACTTAGGCGGGTGGGGGCGTTCAGGGTCAGGAGAGCTGAGAAGAGACGCTACATCTCGAGCCACATTACTCAGCGAAGCAGGAGCATCCCTGAACTGCAAACTTATGATGAAAGAGGAGAGTTTTACCGAGCAGGATGCAATTGATGACGTGAATGACAATCATTCAATTCGTATTCCAATTGAGAAAATGCTTGCCAAAGAGGTGCCAAAAGAATCGAAAGTGGATGCTACAAAGCCTGAAAATCAGGTATCTATTGGAACTGAAGGCTGTGAATGCTGCTCTGAAGAGAAGTGTGCTAATTGTAGCACAGGAAATGGTTCATTGGATTACTACAGTTGCAGCAGTGAAGGCAGTGCTTTAACTGGAACATTCAGGGAAATAGTTTTGAGTCGTAGTGTTCTGACAGCAAGCCCGGTTGACCTTAGTTTCTCCAGCCATACTGGTGACTTTGATTCCTCATCTGAGCGGGAGGTGAGACTAAGCAATGTTTTAAGTAATGACAATCTGAGTGAATCTTTACTGTACTGTCTAGACGGTAACGAACCATCCTGCTTGAATGAAAGTAAATTATCTTCCAATGATCCTGATGAAAAGACTGACATTTCTCACAGAGTAGCATCAAATGTAAGTGATAAAAAGACAGTAGACCTTGATTATGAATCATCTAGTGTGGAAGCTGAAAATGAAAGGAATGTTTCCTGCACTGTTGAGTGTACAGAAACTAGTTGTGGAGATTCTCCATTAAAACCAACAGTTACCAATATTTTAAAAGAAGCTAAACTTGAAGAGCAAATTTCCTCTGCACCCAATGACATAACTGGTGTCAGCCAATTGTCAAACTCAGGAACAGACTTTAATAATACCTGTGTGCAAAGTGAGATTGACCGGTGTTTATCAGAGAGTGCAGCTGTGGGTTCTGTTAATGAAACATCCTTTTAAGTTCGATATCAAGGTGTGTTATTTTATTTTATATTTTCATCTTCTATTGGTGTTGGTGCTTAGTTTCTTTAAATTGAAGAATTTAGAACTTAAGCTGTATCCTACTAATAGAGAACTTTTGGTTGGTACTACACAGGACATTGTTAGACTTTTTCTCACTTTTTACTTTGAGAACCTCTGCATCTTTGAAATTTCTGAAGGTAATCAAGTTCTTTAATACCCTATATTAAGTAGACCTTTAATAAAATTGTTCATAAATCATTATTATTATTAGCATTTAAAAAAATCTTTTATCTATCAGGTGCTTTATTGCAAATACTCCGGTTCTCTTCTTTATCTTTCCTCTATTTTAATTTAAAGATCACTGGTTTTTCTTTTGTATAAAACTTTGTTATAAGTTAACTTGACAACCAGCTTTTGTATAACAAGATTGAAGTGATTACTTATTTGTTGTAGGACTTTGCCTTACAGGCCTAACAATTTCTTTTTTAAGGAAGATTTATCTATTTTTCTATTGGCAAGAGGATGTTGTGTTAAGAAAAATATAACAACACATTTTTGTGTTCAGTGCCTTGTAAAATAGACTATTTAATTTTATGTTAAAAATTTTAACAATGCAATAAATGTGATACAAATTTAGTCTTTTGTTTTGCAAAGTAACTTGGCTGCATTCGTGACTAAATGAGATCTTTAGAAGAACCAGGTTACATACTACAAAACGTTTTGGTTTTTAATCAATCCAAAACTGGGAACATAAATAGCCACTAGTAAGGCTTTGAACTACTATGTTTTCTATGATAATCTTCTCTTTGACCTGTCTTCCTTTCATCCCTATATCTTCTTTCACCATCATATTTTCTGTACTCATTTCTACCTTTCTCAACTCTTTTTTCCTTATCTTCCCTTCTGTCATCGGTGCACTTCCGCTCATTCTCATACCTCCAGTTTTCCTCTCTTCCCCTATCACTCCATCTCCCTTTATCATAGTCTTTCTGACCTTTATGGTAGCTATGAGGTGGGTACACATCTTTCCTCTCGAGTGGCTTAGCTTTTAAGTCAGTTCTTGAACTCTCATGGTATTCAAACTTTTCACTACTAAATTTGTTAGGTCTTGTTTCGTCCAGTCTACCTTTTAGTTTACTAACACTTGCCTCTTTTTCAAATTCATTATCTGATGAATTGTGTTGCTGATATTTTTTCTGGGATTGTTTTGCTTTCTTGATTTTATGATCACTATCTTCGTAATCAGAAGATGATTCATTTTTAGATATCAATCTATGTGAATCTGTTTTTTTCTTTTTTTGAGTGTTGCTTTCTCTTTTACAATCTGCGCTACTAGATGAAGATTTGCTTTGCTTCTTTCTTTTGAGTTTTTTCTTGGTCTTCTGCGAGTGTTCATCATCTGATTCAGAGCTGCTATCATCAGAGCTGCTAGAAGATGAACTTGATGATTCTTCCTTTTTCTTATTTTTGAATAATTTTTTAACTGCATCCTTAGTTTTTTCCGTCTTTTTCTCCTTTTTAGTTTTCTTTGCTTTGTTGTTGGTGGAGACATCTTCATTTTCTGACACAAAAAAAGAGAAATTAGTCTCTATTAATTTATTTGGGAGGACTCTTTACGTTAAAGATAAGATAAGTCAAGCATTGTCCACGCAGTTTTACCTGTTTTGATTTTAAGTAAACTTTCCATAGGAGGTAAATTAGGGCCCTTGTCTAACCCTCCATTAAAGCCAGGTTTTGGGAGTTGAGGTAAACTACCAAACTTGGAGCCAGGTGCACAGCCTTCAGAGTGGAGTTGACGTGTCTCGTCATCAACTTGCCACTTGGGATTGTCATCTTTAGGAGCCTTATATCCTTCACAGTGATCCACCCTAATTGTTCTATTCAAAAGCTAAATACAAAGATGAGTACTTATCAATTTATATTTAAATGTTAATTAACTATGTAGATTTAGAGTTGGGCCCTTACTTTGATACCATTAAAGTTGTCAACAGCAAGATTAGTGCTCCTTTGATCTTCGTAACAAACAAAACAAAAGCCTCTTGACTTTCCAGTTCCTTTATCCCGCACCAAGTTAAGATTCACTACCTCGCCATACCTAAAGGTTCAAACAATAGTATATAAATGAAATATTAATAAAATTTAGAACTTGAGAACTGAATGAAATAATTTTGATTACTCACTGTGAAAACACACAAATTATATCTCCCTCGGTGAGATCAAAAGGCAAACCACCAACAAAAATCCAGGCGCTATGTTTATATTGGTCATGCCATGATGTTTTCATGCTAGAACGAAGTTCTTGTTCGGACAGCTTTAAAACATTTTTCATGTTCCTGAAATGAGGATTTCAAAATTATACATTGGTCAGCACATATCAGCAAGTAACCTAAACATTGCAATGAGCATTGCACTGAGTTTACTTACGTTAGAGGATTCATTTTGTCAGACTATATGGAAATTCTTCGCCTTTAGGATGAAAATAGAACCTCACAGAGACGCAAAGTATACCGGTGGGACGAATGACTGGTTTAGCAGCGAGGAAACGTTTATCCTACGACATCCGAAGGCGACAGGTTAAGAGGTTAGTGGCACAAACCAAACAAAAACAATGGGAGAGAGAGAGAGAGTATCGAAGGCCAATGGAGGCGCCAACGGAAAGCCAGAAGAGCGGTATATTTGAATGCAAAAACAATGGGGATGGGAGATGGCGACTCAAAATCGCACTGAAATGATCTTTTATTAATATTCATGTCGAGCGGTCGTAATAAATACCGCGGAAAACGAGTAAAATCAGGAAGATAGCTGACGTGCTCTCTGCTCTCTCTCCGAGAGCACTCGCTTAAGCTGATACAGCCGCTGGTGCATATTTCTTAAAAGTCGCCAAATATAATTATAATTATTAATAGCAAATCGCCCATAGTAGTTTATTATCCTGATCATTTCACTATTGTCACTTGGCACTTCCCTGGCGTTGCCGCCTGGAGCCACACAACGATGCGCGGGACGG